CACTTGCGTGTGGTGAAATGGGGTCATAACTTAAGAGACGGCTTTTTCATATCAATTATTTTACATTAAATCATATTTCAAACCATAAATAATGTTCGACAGCCAAATAAAAGAAACAATACCAATACAGGCTTACAGTTTAAGGCTCGACATTGTGTTGTCTACGATTAGACAGCTGATAACTCATTCCCGTACGTCGTAACTCTATAATGACCTTTGCTTATTGTCACATGTGCGCCGCATTCGCGATTGTTGCCGACGCCTGTTTACAGGTCAGCCCACTACAATTGTTATACATATCGAAAAACCGATAAACTTTTAGGCGAAAAAGGCACTATTCCAGGCCCATTTTTGATTTTTTTTGCGATATTAGGTAAAAACAGAAGCTTCTTATCCTAGGAAAAATAAAATGGGAAATCTTTCAAAGGTGGCACACTACCTTTAAAAAACCATTATTTGGCATAGTGGCAAAGTCACCCCTTTTCAGTTTAACTTTGCCACGACTCATTTTCCTTAAAAATTTATATTTTTAGTCAAGATATAAATACGATAATAACAAAACCCAAAGAGCTAATCGTCATCCGTGTTTTAAACATAGAGTCATCCCAATAAGTTAACAAGTTTAAAACATACAAGCGTCTAAAGTTGAAGACATGGCAAAGTCACCCCCGTTTACGGTACCTAGCCACTTTTCTGAAATAACTTTTTGTAATGTCTTAGTATAGGCCAAAAGTCAAGATAGTTATACAATATACAGTCACCTAGTTGCATCTGGAGTAGTCAACTAGGTACAGGGTAGAAGGGATGGGACTACCCGACAAAAAAAGACCGTAGGCCAATCGGCCCAGCGGTTGCTGTGGTATAAGCCTCTCAAAACCCGTTACAGGCTGGGTCGGGCCGGGCCGGGCCGCTCATGCTGAGATTTGTCCGCGTTATGTTCAAAAGACTTCGCTTCGCTCGCTCGCTCGTAATTATTCCAAACCATCAGTTCACAGTCCACATGAGGTCAAAACTTTATTCCATGTCGGCACAACTGCTCCGAGCAATCACATCGGCTGTGTCAGGTCAACGGTTCAGGGGGCTCGTCATTTGCTTCATTCGCTCAGCTCGGACACCATGGTTTTTCTCGTCGATGTCAGTCAGTAGATTGCCGTGGGGGTGCCGTGTCCTAGCTCTGGCTACCTTCCTCTGGAAGGCGGACCAGAATTCTGGCTGGTCCTCCTGTACCACCACGTATCTTCATCGGCAGAGCCATGACGGTGGCCCCGGTGGCTGGCACACGACTCAGGTCGGCGACGTTCTCCAGTCCGAACTTGTTGCGCGCGAAGAGCGCGTGGTGCGCCTCCAGACGGAGGTTGGCACTCTGGTCCAGGGACAGACAGTCGACTCCAACACCCACCACGGCGTCATCAGCGGCCAGCTCATCGGCCGCCGCCTTACCAATGCCCGGAAAACGCAGCGGCGGCAGCTCGTGGGGGTCGAAAGAGAACCCCTGCTCATGGAACTGGTATCCTTCAGGCAGGCCTAGGTATCTGTTGATGTTGTCGCGGTGTGCCGCCTGTCCAGTACGCACGAGCAGGATGGTCGGGTACACAAACTGGCCGTGCTGTTTTCTCCATTCGGCCAGGTCTTCTGTGGTGAGGATGGAGTCGGGATCGGCCTGGCAGCGGTCAGCGATGTCTATCATCGCCGCGTGTCCCACCAGTCGGTCGGCGGGAATCTGGTCCACACTCCACGTGCCGTCGCGCCCCACGTGGATCGGCGCGTCCATGTGTGTGCCCGTGTGCTCTGAGGAGGCGAAGTTGTGCAGGGCAGCCCAGACGTCCGGGGTCACAGAGCCGTTGATCATCAGCGTGAGGTTGAAGCCGAGGAAGCCGGGCCAGTGGTGGCTGGTGTTGTCCAGGGGGTGGCTGAGATCCAGCCACTGCGGGGTGGCGGCGCTAGGGTGCACCAGCGGCAGCGCCTCCAGCGGCGGCGCGCAGAAGAGCAACACTACCGAACACCAACACCAGCTCCAACTCTGTGCACCAACCCACATGTCAGAAGAGCTGGATGAAGTTTGTCGCTCGAGTACGGCCGCCGGCCCGGTGTCACCGTCTCGCTGTAGATGTCGGTGGCCCACTGACTGTCCTGCAGGAGCACAGCCAGTGACCGCCGCCGGCTGCAACCGGACTGCCGGGCATCTGCTGCACGTGCCTCCGTGTCACTGCCGCACCACTAATGAATCGCTGCGCTGGTAAAGCAGATACAGTCGCTCTATATATATACACAGAGCCACGTGTTGCCAGAGCCAGAGTGTCTAAAGATAAGGCCAACGTCCAAATGTGCTTGGGTTCACTCACTGTGTAAGTTGTTGTGCAATATAAATATTTCAAAATCGCTGGTAAGATTGTCGTGTTATGAATTTCATACTTGGTCTAACCCTTTCGACATTATTAATAACTATTTGTGGGTCAGATAGTTGCTCAATGTATATGACAATCTTCACGGATTAATTCGCGAAAGTAATCTTACGTGAAATTCGTGTTTTTAGTTGACATTGTTTATACAATGTAGATTTCTGAGCTAGTGCAGACTACTTAATTTGTTCAGATTTTCAGAGATCTTCATGGATCAGCATGTTTAAAACGTAAGTATGCAGGATGGCCTCCGGACAGCAACAGCGTAGTTTACAAGATTCCGTGTTGAAGGGCCCGCGCGTGTACTACGGGGAAAGTAGCAGGGGTCTCAAAACTTGAGTTTGCGAACATAGCAGGCGGGATTTACGCAATCTCAGATTTTCTAAATCTTTTTTTGTTATCCACGCTGAAAAAGAAGGGCGTCTGCTTGGCTGGTCGCGGGCTCAAAAACTCAACTCAAGTCATGTGCATCAGAACTTAAAAACTCGACGAAGGATTACAGAAGCGGCGTTCATCACAAAATTAGCAAATACTTCGGATGGTTTTATCATGCTACTTTCGATGTCCGTTTTGTTTCTTAGGAAAGACATTAATTTGTATTTTGTAACTTGAAAATGTACATATTCATATACCTACATCATGCAAGATAGAGGAAACGGTGAAAAAGTGTCGCGCTGTATTAGAACGACGAAAATGTACCGACGACTCTGTACTTACAAGGCTCCAAACTCTGTGTGTAAGAATATGCCGTATCAACTTTGAGATCTGAGAAAGTAAATACCTATGTAATACGAAACGTTGGGTGGTTATGGTGCTTTTATCTTCACTTATTTATGAATTAGTTTGTCTAATTCAAAAAACTCACAGTGATCGCATCGTTACTCTAGACTAAGACCATTGACGACCATGAGTATCAACAGACCAAACTTTTATCAGCATAGGTCAAGTGACGAGATATCTGAATGAATTGACGTTACCATGCGCTGCAAATTAACTACACAAGGCCTTGATCATGAAGGTCGCAGACAGCTCAGATATCGCCCGTTCAGTCGAGTGTTGATTTCTCGTCTGAGTGCACGGTTCTGACTGAGTTCAGTTTGGTGACGTCTTTCAGTCACGCCCCAACTACTTAATTAAGCATCGTTATTTTATGCATAATTTCTCAAGGAAGTGTCTGTTGGCGTTCCCTGTAAGTCGCCGTCAATCGTCGATTGCTGCTCAGTAAGGCAGGTAAGTTCCTACATAGGATTAGTTATGTTTCAAATTTTATTGAACGCTCCTGACATCGGGATTTCTCTGTTAGATAAAACGGCTGAGAATAAAATCGGGTTTACTGTTATCTCGATATATGATAAAAGCTCCGATTTGTTCTTGAGCCACCCTACTCCTCAAAAGGGGTTGATCTTCTTTCCTTGATACCTCCTAAAATAATGCTAATATCGTAACTTGAACTTTCAGTGTACAGCACTTCATAAGACGTGGAGCACACAGCATTTATTAAGACGTGGAAATAAAGCTTAACTTACATACATTGGGGACGCATGGCATTGGCATCGTTCGTTTGAACCCACTGATCTTGCACTTTGTGTTGTGGCCGCAGTGGAGTCGCGCAATGGAGGCTCTCCCTGGCTGGGCCTGTCTGCCACTGCTGTTCCTGCTACTGCTGCACTGCCAGCCCCTGCTGAGCTGCCAGCCGTCTTCCTCCGGCGCCGTGGGTCCGGGAGGCGTCAGCGGCACCGTCCTTCCAGTAACGCCTAACACGGACACGGTGAGCCATTGGAAAGGCGATACAGGAGGCCAGAAAAGTGATACAGGACTCGACGGAAGATAAAAGACTCGGAAGACACGATATAAAGCTCCAGACAGGGATAGGAGTGTCCTGATAGGTGGCAGGACTTGATCAGTCGGGCGACAGGAGACCCCAGGATCAGGAATAGACAGGTGATACAGGCGATACCAATACGGAATCCTTGATCTAGCGATACATCACGACTCGCGATGTGGTCTTCGCTTGCTCTCTGCCCCGAATAAGCTGCCTTCGTATTGTTCACTATCACCAAAACCTTCCATAAATGCCGCCAACATATCCGGCAGATGCCGCCCCGGGGCATCACAGCACCAGCACGAGCTTCACAGACAACTTCGACAACCTCAGAGAAGCCCGATCTGGTGGAGCTCACCTACCAGTGGCGCCGGATCCCCGGAACGGCTCCGAACAGCACGTGCTGCGGCATCGTCGACCACCGGTCCAACGGCACCGGCACCGTCAACGGCACGATCGAGGGGCATGATCACTATCCGTGGATGGTAGGTGGGTGGGAGAGCGGCGATGGGTTGTAGCTGCACATGCCACAGCAATGGAAACTTTTTTAAACATTTTCTGGACATCATTACCGAGGCATGCCTTAAGCCTGCGTCTAAAAATCCGACGCTGATAGACGGTATGTCAAGTTTACTTTAGATCGGTATGATCTGACTGTCGGCAGGCAGCGCTGGTGGACGCCTCAGGAGAGCACTGGGGCGGAACACCTTTCTGCGGAGGAGCTCTGATCAACGATCGGTACATCCTAACGGCGACTCACTGCGTAAACTGGTGGCCGTCCGCAGTGGGGTCAGGTCATCCTCGGCAAGCGCGAGACCTTCCGCTCCTCCGAGACGGAGCTGCGTCTCAACGTCTTGAGGGTGAGCTGACGTGTGCAAACGGGAAATGGATGACATTGGTGCCCTGAAATGTTTGGAGCACCGGCGGAAACACATTAGTTTTCTTGGAAACTGACAAGAAGTCTGGCGAGGTGCGTATCTCGATGTCAGCCAATTCTGCGGCCCTTTTCGTATCCCGAACTATTCCGTTACAGATAATTCTCCATCCGGAATTTTATGCGAATATCTTGCACAACGACATAGCGCTATTGGAGCTGGAGACGCCGCTGGACCTGCCGGTGGGAGATAATTTCATAGCACCGATCTGCATGCCACAACTTCGGAGAAAATATTACAATGACGAGGCCCAGATGGTCGGATGGGGCCTTCATGGGGTGAGTCTAGCCGAGGCCGTAATGTACATAGGTCAGATTGGTCAAGTCTCAAAAGTACACCTACAGTTAGAAATAAAGACGTGCTCTGACACCTACATGCTCTGGTACGGTCCATTTGCGTGAACTGATAACCATGTACCAGTAAGGGAACGAGATCGAAGTACATATTTGGGTGTCTGTGCGAACAGGTGAATAATAAACAGAACAATCAATTTCAGATTGCATGGAAGCAAAGACGTACTAGGAAAGATGAGCAGCATCAATCACTGAAACACGTCGCAAAAATTACGCTAAAAGAACACCTCGCCAATATGGAATGATATTTGTAAGAAATACCTCAGACGGCAGTGTTCTTGTATATTCCTAGTTTTTTCTTCTTACCATCAGGCGCAACGGACTGACGCTCAGTCCATTGGCGGATCCAGGAGCGAGGGGTACCTATCTGGGGCGAATGTTCCACTGCGCCCGTAATTGACGAAGATTTACGTTTTCTTTACGATGAAACGAGAGCTAAACAACTTTTATGAGGACAATTTTGTCTAAAACTGAATATCGGTGCGTAATGGTGCCCTGACACTTGCACGACTTTCGGTCACGATTTTGTCGTCGCAAGCTGTGCCATTTTCGTGCACGAACTGGGATGGCTCCCGCACTGTTCACGACTGGTGCACGACCAGTTCACGACGATTTCACGAATAATTCACGAATGCGTGCCCATCCGTGTCCACATTGACACGGACTGGTGCGACGAGTTCACGCTTACTTTCCGCATAGTTTGCGCATAGTTTACGCACTTCCCGCATTGGCACGACAAGTTTGCGTAATTTGTGCCGACTTGGGCATGCCAACTAAAAATGGGTCCCATTTACCAATTTCTCCGTGTCCTGGCCTGACCCATCGTGAGCTTCAGTGACGCAAATGTCCCGACCGTACCTAATGTGACCAGTTTGACCTGGACTGACCTATCGTGACTGTGGCTGACCTCTGTGACCTGGCGTGACCCATCGCGACCTCATAGTGACCTCTCTGACCTAACCTGACACCGTGTGACCTAATGTGACCTCCGTGACCTAACCTGAGCCCGTGGACCTAGTTTGACCTCTTTGACCTGAAATGACCGTTAAATACATTTTCGGTCATAACTTCCCATCTAGGCGTCTAATCGACTCGGGAAAATTACCAAACAATCCCAAATTTCGCGCTGCGAAGCAAGCCGAGATCCACACATTGGCAAGGGCTGGTACGACGAGTTCACGAATACTTTTCGCGTAGTTTGCGCATAGTTTACGCACTTCCCGCACCGTCCCGACGAGTTCACGAACGGTTTGCGCATAGTTCACGATCCGGTCACGAAATTTTGTCGTGACCAAAACTTTGAACATTTCAAAGTTCTCACCCCGACATGGCACGAAGTCACGACGAGCTAACGCACACTTCACGTCAGTTTGCGACTAGTATGCGCACGGGCACGATTCGATTCGTGCCAATGCGTGCCACAAAATCGTGCAAGTGTCAAGGCCCCTTAAGGAATCAAAAGTCAATGAGTTTTTATGAATTTTAAGACACTTTTGGGAAGGCTCTCCCCGCAACGTCCAAGACCGCCTTTCGTGGATCCGCCATTATGCACTTGCAGTCTACCTACTCTTTGAAACAATTACAAACCATCATCTTCTCACAGTTCAAAGCAAATCCAGCGAGCGAGGAGAGCCGTCCACCCGTTCTGCGCAGTGTGCCAATGAGGACTATGCGCATCGGCCGCTGTTCATATCGCATCATAAAAACGACTGGGAAGATCTTCGTTGTAACACCGAGCACAGTGTGCGGAGGCCATCGACACAGCCGCCGGGCCTGCTGGGTGAGCTCTGTCCTTGCGCGAGCCTCGCTATTCAGTAGCTATACGAGTACGTAAACGCTTAACTTATTCGCACAATGGATAGGTATTTTAGTGCGATTCACTTAGAGTGGTTGAAACGTTTCCAAAATTTTCGTTTGCAATAATTACCTGGCTAAGAAGGGATTTAAGTGCGGGGAAGTTTATGATGATATCGATCAGCAACGTACCATGAATGAAGAAAAGCATATTACGGCGCAGTACAATATGTGCGTAATGAGGGTTCTTCCAGATAAGCATTACAACACTTTCTCACGGCCTCAAACATCTTTAACATTGTAACTCTCTCTCTCTCTCTCCTCTCTCTCTCTCTCTCTCTCTCTCTCTCTCTCTCTCTCTCTCTCTCTCTCTCCTCTCTCTCTCTCTCTCTCTTCTCCCTCTCTCCTCTCCCTCTCCCTCTCGCTCTCCTCCCCTCCTCAGCTCTCTCGCTCCTCCTGCGCTCTCTCTCTCCCTCTCTCTCTCTCTCTCTCCTCTCTCTCTCTCTCTCTCTCTCCTCTCTCTCTCTCTCTCTCCTCTCTCCCTCTCTCCTCCTCTCCCTTCCCCTCTCCCCATAGGGCGACTCGGCTCCCCGCTGACAGTTGCCGACCAGGACGAGCCGCTCCGTAGAATTCTGCTCGGACTGGCCATCTGGACCGTTCGACCGTGCCACACTCCCAGCCCGGACGTATTTGTCAAGATTCCTAAATACCTCGACTGGATCATAACCAACACAGAGAACGCCAACTACTGCTGACAGCTTTACAGCATTGCCGGAAGGTGTTGATTTATTGATAATATAAATGTATTATTCATTTTAGTTGATAATATTGCCGTGATACTTATAAAGGATGGCAGTTTTGCTGACGCTAAGTTGTCGAATGTTCCCCTTAGCTTAATCATGATGATTTTTTTTTTATTTTAAAGAAAGAGCAGCATACGAGTTTTGTTGACTGGTGTTTATTAATATTTTGTTGTGCTTCTAACTTCCATGTGCTGTAAATACAAATACATATGCCAACTATTCCTTGCCATCTATATATATTGTTGCATGTTGTAAATATAAAGCATTTTTATATGGAATGTCTAACAAGTCTTCTTTGACGGTAGGTATACCTTATATACCTTGAACGACTTTTCTGGACTTCCTAATCGAGTTCAAAATGACATCAAACTAGAGGGTTGGCAAACGTACAAATCCAATCACGTACCCAATCGCGTACTTTGTATGCGATTACAATCAGCGTAAAATCAAATTACGAAACCAGAACTATACGTATACCAGTCAATTCTTTATAATACAATGCAAAAGACAAAAAAATGTGCTGTTATTTGTGGACTTGAAAAATGACCGTATAATACGCAACTTAATGGCAGCTAATGGCCTAATGCACTGTGGATTTACACAGGACGTATTGGAGGTAATACAACTTGTATTGTCAAACCTTCCAAACGGGCTCCTTTCATGGCTGTTTCGCGATTTATTTGTTTGCACGAATTGTCCGTAGTCTGTCCGCTGACGTCCGAAATGCGCACATTATTATTACACATAGTGCATATGTACTACATATTTACATATTTACATATGTATATTATAGTGCTCATCGCGGACAAATGCATCGCTGTGCGTGCCTACATCAGCATGAGGGAACCTAATCAGCAAAAGGTTTTACAACAGTCACCGACTAATCACCGCTGGCCCAAATACCCTTTATTGACCATTTCGCCAAACACTGTTCGTCCTGGGCACGTGATTGAAAACAGCGTGCCTTCTGATGTGGTGATTACGCCTTTATACACGGCTGTAATCAAGACGTTGCCATAAGTCTAAGGTGAGTTATGACCGGGTCCGAGCGTAAGCAGCACGCTTCGCAAACAACAGGGAAAAGGAGTAATGCCAGAAGCCCTCGCCAGCCGGCGAGGACAGGACGTGGCCTTCAGGATCGTCATCGACCGAACGATCCTCAGAGCGCTAACTGCCGGTCCCCAGGTGCGTCTAGAGCTCCTCATGGGTGCTTCTGGCAGTCCTCGGAGCATTATCGCCCATCCTTAGCGCTTGTCCGCCGGTCCTCAGAATAGCCATGGCCACTGCCGAGCCCAGTCCGATGGCCGGTCCTGCCACTCTACGTCAGGCGGTGAGGGACGTGAGTCGTCAGTTCTGGGCGGACACCAACGTGGGCGGCCTGTCGCAGGCGCACGCGGCGCGTCTGCCGCCGCTGCGGCTGCTGTGGATGGCGCTGTTCGCCGTGGGCCTGGTGCTGACGGTGCTGGATGTTCAGCGAGTGGTGTCCGACTTCTTGACCCACCCGCACGACACCCTGCTGGACGTGGTGCACGAGGGCGCGCTGTCGTTCCCGGCAGTGACCGTCTGCAGCCAGAGCCGGCTGGACTGTCTGCGGCTGGCGCAGCGCGAGCTGCGGGACCCGGCGCACCGTCCGCTGCTGCGCACCGTCCTCCGCGAGTCGGGCTGTCTGAGCCGGCGCGGTCCGCGCTGCCCGTACCAGTGGGACGCGCTGGCCGGCCTGGCCACGGAACAGTGGATCGGCGACCTGCGGCCCCACTGTCTCCTCTGCGACGCTGCGCGGGTGTCCGGAAATACGGCCTGGATAGGAGCGATAAGGACCGGTTTGAAGATCTCTACGAACAGATGGGCTGCAGCTCCAGGTGCCTCCAGAACAACACCGTCCTCGGATCCGGCAGAAGCTTTCCTCCAAGCGATGGTGCTGAGCCTGTGACAGAACATGGTAATCAACTGATGGACAGCGATGAACTGAGGTCGCCTAGTGTGAACGCTGAGACAGAGCCTGCGCTGAGGGGAGCTAAGACCACTACCATCACATCAGAAGCAGACGAGGTCACGGTGACCACAGGCGAAGAGCAGCCAACAGAAGAGCAAGAGAACGTCACAGAAGAAGACGACACCACGATACAGTCACGTGTGCCGCGACGTCTCGTGGATCACATTTCATACGGAGAAAACACACAGGTGACCAAAGTAACTGACTCTCAAGTAAGAATTAGTTTTCCTTCCGTTGTTCTACGTTCAGTTTCATTCCATTTAACCCTCGCCGGCACAGGGGGGGGGGGGGTTGATGCAACCCCCCCTAAGGTTTTTCGCGAATAAATCGCGTAAAAGCGGCCGATCGCGACGAAACTTTCAGTACCCTCGCATTGATCAATTTTACACCTACCCTGAAAATTTCATGACCCTGACCCCAATGACCTTTGACCTGTGACCTCTTTTCCGAGACCATGTTTGGCCGAATCGCGATTCGGCGTATGTCGGCTCGACATTAGCCGCGCGTTTGCAAGCTTTTTGTGGTTTCAAACGTTCAAACATGTGATTTGATGTCGCTCCCATACATTAGGGTGGGTGTCAAGGTCATCTGAAGGTCAGGTCAGGTCATTGACCTTTGGTGACCTCGGGTGACCTCGGTTCACTTTTTCGAGTTTTACATGTTTCTAGGCTAGTTTTTGGAGCTGAATTCGAATTTAGCGAACCATTTGAACATTTACGAAGTAGTTTTGGTGCCTTCGTAACATGTTACGAAGCTGTCAGAGGCGGTTGACACGTATTACGAATACCCGTCACAACCCCTACCGGTTGACCTGACCTGACCTGACCCGACCGGTCTAAATGCTTAAAGACATCATCTCTGATCAAAACTAACACGATATTCGTGATCAGCACCCCGGAAAACCACATAACAGCCACACTTTACGACTTTCTAACAGGTCCCGATTTTCCCGGTTTTCGGGTCATTGACCTGACCTGGAAGGTCACCCGATGACCTAGGACCTTAAAATTGGGTATCATCGGCTTCGTCTCGTGACGGGCAACACGCTCGTTTTTTCCGCGAAGCTCTAGCTCGATCAGGGGCCAAACGCGAGGGGGGGTCGTACCAACCCCCCCCCCCCCTGTGCCGTCGAAGGACGCAAAATGGCCTGTGCCGGCGAGGGTTAAGGAACGGAAAGTAGTGGGATGAGCTCTCTCCATCGGTCGGGCGGTGGGACGACTCTTAGCTTTGCTGCTGGGGGCCTGGGTGACAGCTAGATCCGAATATAACGTGAGCGGCAAGGGGAATAGAATCCTCTCACAGGGGAGTCCGGCATTCAATCCACTATGTGCTTTAGATATCTACACTTGCCATCGCATCTTTGACTCCACACGGGCCCAACTCCAATAAAGTCCCGTGTACAGAGATGACCATGCTTATCCACAGGCACCGAGGAGAAGGCGGAACGCGGGCCCTTCTGGGCCTGGCATCCTCGAGAGGCCCGATCGGCCACCGCTGCCCGACCCTCAGACTCCCAGTGAGACCCACGACAAGAGCATGCGTTTCCTGGCGCACTACATGGCACTTCCGGAGAGTGTGCGCGGCGAGATCGGGCTGTCGTTTGAGGATTTCATCATCGAGTGCTCCTACATGGGCTCCGACTGCGGCGACCAGCGGTGAGGTCCTTTCCGTCCTCGTAGCTAAGGCTTACACGATGCAAAGGATGCCGTTAACCACGCGATCAACCACGTTAAATTTATTCAACATAGTGGGATATATCTGATGTGTTTGTCACAGTGTCGATTTTGTCTGTTGCAGCTTGTTCCGGACTGTGACCTCGCCTCAGTACGGCAACTGTTACACCTTCAACTCGAACGTCACCGAGTCAGAGGATCTGTACGCCGGGATGCGCGAGACCAGTCTCACTGGCGACATGTTCAGTGAGTTGCAGCGGTCCAGACACACCCCAACGATTCAGTGACGTCCTATGAAAGGCCGCCTGTATAAGAACACATACCTAAAGTCTATCGTCTCACTCAGTTAGTAGCAGCCCCCATGGGCTACATGGCTAGTCCAAGACTAGTCTTGCTCAGCTACTTTACGATCATCAGTGCCTCGATTGTAATTCTGACAACTGGATAAATTTTGGCACTTAATCATCACAACTTCGG